CAAATTGTTTTCTGCTCTCTTCTCCCGACCGAGTTATGAATTTTTTCATAAAGCACTGCTTTTTTGGAGAACGCCCCGCCCACCGGGGGTGGGTCTCCCTAATTCGATGTGACTTACCAATGCACACCTTTACCCACTTTTTGGCCCAGTTTCGAGGTGTTTTGTCACTGAAATCGAAATCTTGGTCTTCGGTACAGTTCATTTCGACGCACGCCACGCCCTCTGTGGGCGGGGCTCCGCTTAGCTGATGTGTGTTTTGTACTTCGTGAGACCTTGCCCACCCATCCCACACTTGACCCGGTCCCTCCAGGCGGATCCCGAGGAGCTAGGGAATTTCGTGACAGACATACAGAACGACAGAACGACACACGACAGACGACAGACGAAGCGCTTTATAGTAAGTAGGATCCCTCCCGAACCGACCGAACTGTGAAGGACTATCGTTCTAAACGATTGCAGCACAGATTCGTGGATCGGCCGACTTCTGGCCGTTTCTTTTACACATTTGTAGGCAACCATTTCTGAACAGACGAGGTGTATCCCAAAAAACACGCACCGAATTTTCTCACTGATTGTGAGCACGATGAATATGAAGTCAGGCTGAAAGGGTGGGATCAAGCGCTCCTCCAAAAAGGATGGAAGCAATTGGAATTAACAGCAAAGGTCTTTTCAACAGCATGATGGTGTAGTGACTCCAGAGGTTCTCTTCAGACTAAGTGTCAGGCTCTGGCAGGTTAAAGTGTGCTACAACCACGAAGTCAACTTTTAAATACAAAAAAGTGAAAATGTATCCATAGCCTAGACACCGTACAAGTCTACAATAATCTCGATCATTGAGCACGGTAAAACACCTCTCATAAATTTCACCCTAGAAATCATAAAGCACTTGGCGGTGATCAATCCATTTTAAGGATACGCCACGCATTCTGCTGTCATTCACAGTTATCAGTTAACAATCACACGGACTTGCTGCGGCGTACAAATCAGGGTTTTCATCGCCGCAAATGAGTCTACATAGCACTAGGGACCAATCAAGAGAGGTAGTAGAATTGGTTGGCCTGAGATTTGACCGGGCTTGACCATAAGGGCGATAAGTGACGCTATTCTACTGCTTCACCTAAGTCTATTCCCATAGAATTTTACACCTGAATGCCAAAAGTCACATTGAACTCACTTCAATCTCTCTCCTTCTCCAGAATCGCTAGCTTCCTCCTCATCGTTCTCTCTGTGAATTCTGGGGATCAAAAAACAGACCTCGCTGAGATACAGACATATGGCTATTGTGCGACATTTAAAAAAAATTGTGAAAAGGTTAGATTGCAAGCTATGTTATTGGGCATTACCAGTCAGACGTAGGTGCATTACCAATACCGTTAATTAGTGGCAACAATGAGATTTACAACCCGACATAAGAAAATGTCTTAACAACCGTTGCCTCCAAGTTTCATAAGACTCGTCATAAGATCGCCTCGCTTTCGTCTGTTCCGATGCTCTATGTAGGGGTCCAAAAATGACATTTTCTTGTAATAGTAGTACCTGGAACACGTACCGTAGTCAAGCAAAGCCTTCACAAGGATATGATAAATCAGTCTTTTTCGAAAATGTGCCACGCACTGGGTTTCTAATTGGGATCATAGCGGTACTTGAACGCACAAGCGCTCAAACAATGCCCTTTGGCATCTAGCCAATAGCAAGACAGTCTTTTTTTCCATGTCAGTCGTGCCATTTTTCACAGTTTTGTATTAGCTGTCGTGTTTCTGGGCGATTCATAAAGCAGAGAACGTTCGGGGCCATAAATAATAATGTATGCTATACGAATGTTGTAAGCAAATTTTCCCACCATTTATCGCCTTTTTTGAGCGGAGCGCTGGTCTTGTCGATCTTTCGAAGGCGTACATAACGATCCCGCATATGACGCCATTTGCGCTCCAGCTCCACTCCAGGGCCTGAAACACTTATGATAAGACGTGCTCGCTATCAATGATTAATCCTCATTGTGAACTGATAGCGCGATCCGGCCGAAGGGATAGTGAGGTTCGGTGGGAGCATCACGACCAGTGGAGGGCGGTGCAATTTTGATGATATCATTGAACGGTCACTGGTGAAATAGGTCCTTAGCGCGTTGGAAATGTGGTTGGCACGCCTCTTAGTGCTTCTCAACAATAACGTTCCAAGAGCTTATCGTCACCAGCCTTCGGAGATCATGATTACAAGCCGCCTTCTGAATGCTAAATAGTAATAAAGAAGAAGGTCACGTTGGGAAATCCAATGAAGCATTGGAAATCCGCGGTCCAGAAACTTCATGGAGGAGCGAGCATTCGTGATAAAGTGTACGAATCAGTCGCAAACTTGACTTAGCGAGAGGTCAGATTGAATGTGAGAAGGTCTGCGATTGAATACGATCACCTCACTTCACTGCAAGTCACTTTCAAAGCCTAAAATTAGTTTGAGCCGTGGTTGCGCCAAGCCCTGTACAACCTGACTTAAAGACAGTGGATCGATGGCCAGGAGGCGGAGCGATTTTGATGATCGTTGAGCTTCATTGGTGGACGGACGTAGAGAGGCGATCATAGCCGCAGTTCCCAGAGCGCCCGAATGTTCTGGTCCACAAGGAACATCCAATGGAGTCCTTCGCTTTACCGTTCGGCCATCACGTTCGCTGGCTTTTATTGGACAAACTGACCGCTTTTGATTTCAGCAGGGCTACCCCTTTAAACGAGCAACTCCACTTCACCTTAAAGCGGCCCAACCCCTTTCTGAGCACGATCTTCTTCTTTGAAATGTTAACCTGATAAACATACCTGAAAAGGACAACTGCTGCGCCACTTGGTTCCACACATGACTTTTGTAGTCGGACATTTTATGAAGTGGATGGCACCTAAAATAATAATGAAGTGGTAGTAGTAGAAAAACTGTAGTGTTGAACACTTTGGGAATTCGAAATTTTACTGCAGATCTAAGCATCATTTGAGATATTCCATTGTTTCATAGACAAAATCGGATCAAAATCAGGACGAAATCGGGGAATCGAAAAAGAGAAATAAGGTAAAGTATTAGTACAGAGCACTAATTTGTCCGACGGAACAAAAATCTTTAGAAAATCTCACCTGTTGAATATACAGGGGTTCTTCTCGACGGCATCAATCAAACGAATCTCAAAATGGTCATCGGCTGTGCACGGATATTGCTATAACAGAAGAAATTCAGGACTTATTTCGTGCTGGCTTAGTTGTTGATTAATGGGCCGAAAAAAGCAAATCAGCTTATTAGTCGAACAGCAATGAACATAGTGACAAACTGCCAGAAACGTCCGGAAGCTTTACGCATAGTGGGGGGATTGCGCACTTCTCATCGGTCAGCTTCTTCTCTTTACCATATCTTGAAGAATTAATGAGAGAAACTGACCAATAAGCAGGATGCAATCTCCGCCCTTCTCGTTAAAGCAAGGCTTTTGAAAGCTTTTTTCTGCTCTCTCATTCTTGAGCGACCACATTTGAAGGCTTTCATATTCTTGCACAACAACCAACTTCTAGGCGATTGCGGAATATGTCGTTGATTTTTTATAAACTGAACTGATTAAAGTAACAAGCAATTTCTCCTCACCCCCATTCCCAACTCGGCCTCTTTTTCATCACCATCGACGGATTTGGCATGGTTTTCGATTTCCTTTGACATTTCGCTAAGAATGACAGATTTCACGTCAACGATCACTTCTTTTGTCGTTTCGCCCGATAGTGGCTTCACTTCCACCGTTGCCATTTGCACGCGAAGCAGTGACAACGGAAGAGAGTGTGATGGATTTCACAAGAGCGAGAAATCTTTCCTGAAAATAAGTTGGTCTTTCGAAAAATATTACGGCGGCTTCAACGAAAAGTACGGACAAGGTACTGATATTATATGAAAAGGGAGGAACGTAAAT